CCCTTGCCTTTTTTTTTTTTTTTTTTTGCGCTAAATACCCTTTTCTTCAGGAATCAGCACAGTTTCATCCATGCATCTGACCAGGGTGAGATGTTACCTCTCCTGTGCTCTGAGTTCATCGTTTATGTCTGGGCAGTGGGTAGCACTTGCTTATTAATCCCACAAGCGTTTACGTGCTGATGTTATACCAGCATGTTGGTTAGGTATAGCTTCAATATAAAGAAACAAATTCAGAACATACTGGTTTAAACCAGGGGCCTTGGGCCAGATCTGGCTACTGTCTGTGCAGCCTGCAAGCTAACAGTAGTGTGTGTGTGTGTGAAATTTATTGGAGTGACATGGGTTAATAAGATTACATAAGTTTCAGTTTTTATATTTTTAAATGGTTGAAAAAATCAAAAGGAAGATATTTCATAACGTGAGAATTATATGAAATTTAGATGTTAGTGCGCATAAAGTTTTATTGGAACACAGTGCCGCTCGTTCGATTGCCTGTTGTGGCTGCTTTCATCCTACAAGAGCAGAGCTGAGTGATTGTGCCAGAGCCCATATGGCCCTCGAAGCCTAAATATTTACTCTCTCTTCTTGTACAGAAAGAGCCTGGCCAAACCCTGCCTTAAACAAATGTTAGCTTAATTCATTGTCATGTGCAATTCCAGAAGCAGTGGTTCAGGGCTGGTGCTATGCTCTGCAGTGTTGGACCAGGCTCTTTTCTGTCCTCTTGCTCTGCCACCTGTGGCCCGTTTCCAGGTCCTAAGGGGCTGCTCCAGCCAGCAGGGAGGAAAGAAAAGAAGGGCATGCTCGTAGAGGTTGCATAAACACTTGCACTTCAGTCTCTTTGGCCAGAACTTAGTTATGTGGCCACAGTAGCTGGGGAAGAGGCTGGCAATGAAGACTCCTAGTTTTGGTGTTATCACCTAGTTAAAAATTGGGGTTCTACTACTTGTAGAAGGAAGGAGGACTGGATAGTGGAGGGTGGCCACAGGTTCTGCCCACAGCCAGGCAGGTGGCCTACGGAATACAGAAAGCATTCTCCTCCTCTCCTGGGGCTTACGGACCAGTGCCCATGGGCTGCGTTCCTCATGCGCAGTCTGTCTGATTGGCTCTGTAACCTTGGTGCTTTACCAGTGCCTGGCACATACATACCATTCAGCAGATGTCAAAGTGGTTAGTTAACTGGGTCTTGGAAAACAAATAGATTGACATGTAAGTGTGTAGGATTTCTGTTAGGAGAATGTGGACCTCCAGAAAAGACCAGGAGTAAGCACCCTGAAGAAACAATAGCTGGTTTGCTAGGGGCCTAAAAAAATGTGCCACTTGCCTGGTGCCTGAGGCAGGCGCCGCAGAAAGGTCACCGGAAAGGTGGGTCTCACAACCTCAGAAACACAGACCTGCTTAGAAACCACTTCTGAGTACAGGTGACCTCCCGTCCTTTTACCATTAGTTCCTTGTTGACTTGGCCGCTCGGAATGTGCAGTCCTGTTCCTGTTTGCCTCCAGGTCTAGTCCTCGCCCTGCCCTGCCCTGTGCTGTGTCACAGGAAAGCTGGTCCCCCTAGGCTGTTGCTTGGCCTTCCATGTTTGCTGGCATCTGGCTGGGCTCCACCAGTACCAGGCACCAGGAGGAGTTTGGAGCAGGGAGGAAGGGAGAAAACCCAGGATCTTAGCTTCTGCCAAATGCTTCTGGCCTCTGGGCCCCAGCTTACCAATGGCTGTGGCTTCCTGCTGTTGCTGACCTCCAGCTTGTCTTTTTGGGCTGCCCAACTCTCCATCAGCTATATAACGAATTTCCTGCTTCCTTCCTCTTTAAATTCACAGATTCATTTGTGTCCCTATTAGGCCTCTAAGTGATAAAATGACTGATATGAAAAGCTTGGCACTTTTAGAGAAACTATGGTTCCAGGAACATTGAGGCGGGGGGCGGGGGAGTCAGAGCTGTGTCTGTGTGAAAAACAGTGATCGCTTAAGGATGGTTCTAGTCCCAGGCAATGCTCATGTCTTTTAGCCACCAGGAGAGGACACAGCCCATCCCCAGTTCTCAGAATGTCTGGAAATATTACTTAACGTCACCTGAAATTCTGCCAGTGAGAAATTTTGTTGGCATAGTTATAAGTGCCCTCTGTAAAAAACAAAACATAACACCCTGAAGATTCAAGTTTTGTCCATCTGTTGCCCCTCTCGGTGTGCACGCTTCTCGTCACGGTGCGCTTCTGTTGGGCCAGGAGGGTAGTTTTGGAGAGTGGCACTGTTTGTTGAGGGAGGGAGGTCCTACTTCCCGCTGGAGGGGTCTTCTGAGGTTGGTCCCGTGGCCCTGTCTTCACTGGGAAGTTTTCATAGGGAATGTCGCTCCATTTCTCAAAGAAAAAGCAGACTCTAGTGTACTATTTAGAAATGTACAAATGCATTTAAAAAACATCTAAAAATATTAATAATGGCTGTCGTTAGCTGATGGCATTTCCAGTAAATTTTTTACTTCATATTTTGTTTTTAAAGTTTATTATAGTGAAAATGATAAGATATTTTATCACTGGGATGACAGTAAATATGAGGGGAGTCTGTGGCTCAGAGATCGGCAGATAGGAAGCTGGACAGAGATGAAAAACAGAAAAAGAGGGGCCGTCAGAAAGAATAGTGGTTTCGCTTGGTTTGTTTCACTGACATACTGCTTTAGGCTAGCTCCATTCACTAGAAAGGAATTTGGTTTTTTCCATCCTCTGTTCTCTGAACTCAGAACTCCAGCTGGTGATATCCAGGCCTATTCAGCTGTGTTGCAGATTAAGTAAGCTTTATGCGCTAGTCTAGAAACCTAAACTCTTCTTTTATAGCATTTTTAAAAATACTAATGTCATCTTCAATTCCAAACAGTCTAGGAAATAACGCTTCTTTAAGGGGGAGACTGGGGAGACAGTGTCTCTTTCGTTCACGTCTCTACACCCAGTGAGCAGCTTAGGATCCGGCACGTGTGAGGGCTCCATAAATGTTTGTGAATGAGGAAGTGAGTGAATGAGCGAGCAGACATCTGTCGTCTCCACAACAGAAGCACACAGATACTTGGTGGTTGAGTGCCCTAAGTTGGCTCTAAGACTTGAGAGGTAGAAACACAGGCCCCTCTTAGCCCCATCAAGAGCACTCCAGGTCCAAAAAACAGCTGTCCAGCCTCGGAGCTAAGAGGTTGGAATCTTGGCCTGGTAAAGAACTGAACCGATACTTAGCAACCCTCTGGTCCAGGAGTGGAAGCTGACTGTAATGTTTCTGTTTCACTAGCCAGGACCTACCTGTGCTTGAAAATGACTGCCCTCTCTTGACTCCCTCAACAGTGTTAAATACCTAACTTCCTCTCTGGGCGCCCTTGTGCTAAAATGCATGTCCTCTTGTACTCATTCATTCATTACCTACTTGATGATGGTTTCCCACGTGTGGGGCGCTGACTACAGCATACGCAGTGATGAATAGAAAGGCACGGTTCCCGTCCCCAAGAGCTTATAGTTCGGGACGTAAGTGAAACGGTGATGCATACCACCCACTGACATGAACAGTTGACCAGGGAGAATGGATTGCTTGCAAGTTAGATCTTAGAGCTGCTTTACTGAGCAAAGGGTCTTCTCTTCCCAGTGATTTGCTTTATCATCGTGACAATTCAGTATGTTTCTCCACCTTCAGAAAACTTAAACTGTCTCCTATAGATGTGTGGGCCAAGCTTTTATATCTGTTCTCTCCTGACAGGTGAACTTTAATGAGCCCTTATCGATGCTTCAGCGCCTTACTGAAGATCTGGAATACCATGAGCTTTTAGACCAAGCTGCAAAGTGTGAGAACTCTCTAGAACAGCTCTGTTATGTTGCAGCTTTCACCGTGTCCTCCTACTCCACTACTGTTTCCCGTACCAGCAAGCCATTCAACCCACTCCTTGGGGAGACCTTCGAACTGGACCGATTAGAGGAGAATGGGTACCGATCCCTCTGTGAGCAGGTAAAGGTGCCTCTGGACAGCTACACATTTCTTTTTTTGTTAATCCTCACCTAAGGATACATTCCTTTTTTTTTTTTTTTTGAGAGAGAGAGAAACATCAGTGTGAGAGAGACATCAATTGGTTGCCTCCTGCACCTGCCCAGATTGGACCTGCAACCCAGGTATGTGCCCTTGACCAGGAATCAAACCCAAGACTCTTCAGTCCGAAGGCTGACGCTCTAACCACTGAACCAAACTGACCAGGGCACATTTCCTTTTTGAAAAAAGGCATGATATTTTGGTTGCTCTTGCCCACACCAGGTGTTGTGTTTGTAGAAATTCCAGTCCCTGTCATCCCACACTGCCTTCTTTTCCTTCAGGGCTCCCACACTGGTGCAGGTGCAAGAATGGCAAGTATGAATTTCAGGTGTTCATCACCAATTACTAGGCAATACCTTCTCCTCCTTTCTTCCTTCTTATTTGAATCACTGATTTCTTCAAGGTGAGTCATCATCCCCCGGCCGCTGCACACCATGCGGAGTCCAAAAATGGCTGGACATTGCGTCAGGAGATCAAAATCACCAGCAAGTTTCGAGGCAAATACCTCTCCATCATGCCCCTTGGTAAGGCCACCATCTTTTTAAGAACTAGTGCTCCCAGAATGAGGATTCTCTGGCATTGTAGACGAGGTAACTGGTTTAGGAGTCAGGAGACCAGAAGTCTGATGTGGGCACTGAACCTTATAACTTGCTGACTTTTCACGAGTCATTTAACTTCCCAGCTATTGAATGAGTGAGGAGGCCTGCAGCTCTAAGGACCCATCCAGCCATAAATTTTTTGTTCATCTTATCTATATTTAATGCATCTTTAAGTACTATTTTAAAATATAAATTCTGACATGCAAAAAAAATTCTCTTAACTGGTGTTTCTCCCATTACCCTAGCAGTTGGGTTCTCTATGTAAACCAAAACTCTTGTGACTACCAGGTTAGGTTTCTTGGCTACCCCTCCCCTTTCTCTTTCCTTCCTCCCCTCTGTCTTCCTCTACAGGATTGTTTAGGTATCATTTATGTAATGGCTGAACTCCAGGTAAAACGAAACTTTATTTTAAAAGATCTTATTGTATTACAATTTAACTTTGCACCAGGATCCAGAAGAACAGGCCTGGGGATAGGAATCCTAATATGCAATGTTAGAGAATCTGCATTTTAGGGGAAATGAGATTGTTCAAAAAATGTAGCAGAGATTCTTGATACTCTGTTGAACTAGAGCAGCCACACTTGGCCATATGTGTACTAGAGGGAATGCCGGTTTACAGAAAAAGCAGCACAGAGCAGGTCGAAAGAAACTAGGTAGCTCTCTAGAGACAGCTGACAGCACCTGCCTGAGCTCCTGCGGCTTTCTGTTTCCTGGTCTGGTCTTCCCTGAGGCCTGGCTGCAGTGCTTGGTTAGTGCACTGTAGTCTTCTTCTAGAATGAAGTTCCCTTTCTCTCAGAAACACAAAATATAGCAGGTATAGTGCAGACTAAAAATTAGCTAGAAAAAAATCAGGAATGTTTGTAATTACAAAAAGAGAGAAGAAACTGGAGTGTTAATTCTGTCACTTCCTGGTTATATACAAGAGGCTCTTAGATGAAAAGGAGACCAAGTGATGTTGGTCTTGGTCTTTACTGAAGACCTTTAAAAAGGTTCTAATTGCTTAATTATCTTTGAAGCTAAGAATTTCAGAAGTATTCGGTTAAGAGCAGTAAAAACACCTGGGATGTTCACACCTAATTTTCAGAACTAGGGTGTCGGTGGTCAAATTGCAGTATGACTCACCTGTGAGGCCACCTGAGGCTCTCTAAAGAGATGGGTTATATTTCATTCTAAGGAGGGTTGTATACATTGTAAAAATAGCAATAAATCTAATTTACCAGCAATGTGCTGTGCATTTCTCTATAATTTGATTAATCTAGAATTCTTTGAGGGGTACGTAACCATATGAACATGTTCTAATTGGTAGATCTAGTTTTTTAGAGTTAAAAAAAGTATTTGATGGGATTCTGTTCCTATGGTTATTTAAGGATTCAGGTCACTAGGATGTGTTGTCTTAAGTCCCTCTGTCTATTAGATACTGAGTACCTGCCACATACCAGGCATGGGAAATATAAGTGAACAAAACCAAGATCCGAACCTTCATAAGGAAATTAAACAAAGAATTGACATAGTGACAGGAAACTGAACACAGAAGTATAAAGAGTGAGATTTCCAGACATCAGTCCTGGGGATGAGTATATTTAATATTTTTGGATCAGTGACCTGGAAGGAGAATCGTGCAGTGAAATTTTCACATTTGCAATGGCACTCAACTCACAGAGGGCAAATTGTCCCCAGTAGATGTCACTGAAGAAAAATAAATGAATGGGGTCGAGAGTGAGTCGTCAGACAGATGTTTTTTGACGTGATGGTGGGGGTCTGCGTACCACTGTAAAACAGACTGAACAGGCTGGAAAGAAGAATGTTTCTGGAAAATATGATTGAAGTTTGCAAAATGATAGACCATGAATTTTCTCAAGTTCCAGGGTATTGGAAGGGTCTAGGCAATAACCTTGAAGTTTAAAGAGATATATTTAAGTGAAAGCATTATGTGTAGTTTGGAGTTCTCTAGCCCGGGAAGAATCAAACTCGAGGACATGAGTGAAACGGTTGGTGAGCCTGTCGAGCTCTGTGTCAGTAGTGTATTGGGCTCCGTGGACCCTGAATTTGACCCTGAGTGGTACTTCAGTCACAAAATCCCCCTCATATATTTTATCCGTTCTTCCAATTTCTAAGTTTTTTTATTAGGGTGTTTAATCAATTTACATTTATTATAAGTACTGATTAGGTAGGGCTTACGTCTGCTGTTTTGTATGTTTTCCATACATCCTATGTCTTTTTTGTTCCACTAGCCCTCCATTAGTGCCTTTTTTTGTGTTACGTAGATATTTTTTTAGTTTACCATTTTAGTTCCTTTGTTATTTCTTTTCCTGTGTTTTTATATATATATAAATTTATCTTTATTGTTGAAAGTATTACAGCTGTCCCCTTTTTTCCCCCATTCATCCCCTCCACTCCGCTTCCACCCCATCCCCAGGCCTTCCCCATACCAATGTCTGTGTCCATGGGTTATGCATATAAGCATATATAAGTTCTTTGATTAATTTCTCCCCACCCACTCCCCCACCCCCACCTTCCCTCTGAGATCCCTCAGTCTGTTCCATGCTTCTGTGTTTCTGGGTCTGTTTTGTTCATTACTATATTTTTAAAGGTATTTTCATAGTGGTTATCCTGGGTGTTACAATGAACTTCTAATAATCTAGTGCAAATTAATACCAATTTAATTTCAATAGTATACGAAAACTTTGTCACCTATATGGATCCATTACCTTTCCCCTCCTTTGTGCTTTTATTTTCATACAAATTGTATTTTTTTACACTATAATTCCATCAACATAGTTTTATAACTGTTGTTTTATGCAGTTGTTTTTTCACTCATATAGGAGAAAAAAAGTTGCAAGCAAAAAATGTATTTATACTGTCTTTTATATAGTTTAATTGTAGTTTTCTTTACTGATCTATTTCTCAATGTAGATTTAGGTTACTGTCCAGTGTCCCTTCATTTCAGCCTGGAGGACTTTATTTCTTGAAGGGCAGATCTGCTAGCTAGGAATTCTTTCGGGTTTTATCTGGGAATGTCTTATGTTCTCCTTTGTTTATGAAGAATAGGTTTGCTGGATATAGAATTTTTGGTTTGACAGTCTTTTTCTGCCAGCGTTTTGAATGTGTCATCCCACTGCCTTCTGGCCACCACAGTTTCTGATAGTCGTATTGAGGAACACTTCTTACTGCCTCCGAGATTCTCCTTGTCCTTCCTTTTTAATAGTTAGATTATGATGGATTTCAGTGTGTAGTTTGATTATGAGGGATTTCGGTGTGGTGGTCTTTGAGTTTATCCTACATGATGTTCATTGAGATTCTTGGATGTGTAGATTAAGGTGCTTGTCAGTGTGGGGGAATTTCCTGCCTATATTTCTTCAACTACTACAACTACTCTCACCACCTCAGGCAGCTGTTGTGTTAAACTGGCAGTTGCTGCTTATGGTTTTGATAATTGCCCCAAGGGAAAGGCTGTTTGAGATGAGCAGGTGCTGAGCTCTGTGAGTGGGAGTTTACAAGGAACCATCACATAGGTCAGGTGATGACATTTCTTTGAAGATGAGGCTTTTGGGGAACTTCATACTTGCTGGTGAAGTGTGAGGCTCCCCAAAAATGTTTGCTAGGCTGCTTGCTGGATTTCAAGGCTGCTGCCAAGCTGGTGAGAGGAGGGTGGGACTAGAGCAAGTTAAAATGCCTGCCCCGAAGCTCATTTTTGTTTCTGAGATTCAGCCATTTTTCTTGAATAAATGCTTCTTGAATTATTGTAAGCCTTTGATTAATTTCCAGAGTTCTGAAAAAGTTTATTCTGATAATTTTTGCTAGTGTTCTTGTTGACTGAAGAGCAGCTACATGGAAGTCCTTACTCCACCATTCTGGAAGTGGTTGTCTTCCCCTTCATACATTTTAAATGGCTCTGTTTTTAGATCTGTTTTCAAGACACAAATATTACATAAAAGAAGGCAGTGATAGGACATTCTTTGTTTTTGCACTATCCCTGTGAGCTGGAAGGGATACTGTAGAACAGCAGGTACATCATCAAGGTGAAATACAGGGTTGTGGTATTGGGCTATACAGATGTTCTGACCTTATTTTGAACTTCAGTTCTGCCACTCTAACTGTGACCTTGGGCAAATTACTTGACCTCTCTGTGCTCAGAGTTTTCGTTGATAAAATGGAAATATGAGAGGTTAAATAAGGCCCCCTAAAATATGTCTGCATTCTAATTTCTGGAACCTGTGGATATGTCACTTTACATAAAGAACCTTGTAGATGTGGTTAAGTTAAGGATCTTAAGATGGGAAGATAATCCTGGATTGCTCCTTGGGCTCAATGTAATCACAAGGGTTGTTATAAGAGGGAGGGTGGAAGGTCAGAGTCAGTGGCAATAGAAGCAAGACTCTTGAGTGGTGCTAGGAAGGGACCACAAGCCCAAGAATGCAGGTGACCACTCGGAGCTGGAAAAGGCAGGCTCTCTTAGAGCCTTAGGAAGGAACACAGCCCTCTGACACTTTTAGACTTCAGACCTCCAGAACTGTAAGATCATAAATTGTGTTGTTTTAAGCCACTAAATTGTGGCAGTTAGTTTCAGCAGCAATAGGAAACCAATATAGGGGTAATAGTGCCTACAGCTGAGGTACCAACAGGTGCTTGCATTTCACTATATGCCAGAAAATACTCTGGGTGCTGTGGGTACCATGGTGAACAAAAGCCACTTGGCTCTCATTTAGCTCACATTCTTTTCTTAAGTAGACAAAAAAGTAAATATATAAATGGTTTGATTTTATATGTAGCAGATCTATGAAGAAAATAAAGTGGAGGTAGGGGTTAATGAGAAACAAGTGTGTGTGGCTCTTTGGATAGGATGGTCAAGGAAATCCTCTCTGAAAAGGTTACATTTGAGCAGAGACCTAAGTAACAAGAAGTAATCAACCAAAAGATGATCTGAGGGAGAGTCTTTCAGGCAGAGAGAACCCCAAAGATAAAGGCGTGAGTTAGGGACAAGCAGAGCATGTTTGAGAAGCTGCGGGGCCTCAGCAGCTGGGTCAGAGTGAGCGAGGAGGGACATGATGGGTGAGTTGAGAGGGTTTATTCCAATTGCAGTGGGAAGTCACAGAGGTTTTTCGCAGTGTGGTAAGTTGATACGCCATGTTTTAAACAGGTCATTTTGACTAGACACTTTAAGGGGGCAAAAGTGGAAGCTAGGGGACCAGAAAGAAGTTGTTACAGAGGTGATGGTGGTTTAGGCTACAGTGCTGGTGGGAGAGGTACTGAGCAAGAGATTTAGGGCATTTCGAAGATGGTTGTGAAGATGAAGTGAGATGACATATGAGGAGAACCTAGCACAGTGTCTGGTTCACAGAAGTGCTCTCAGCAGAGTTGCTAGTATTGTTGTCAGTGTCATTGTCATCACCACCCCTGCTGCAGCTGCGAGGGCTACCTTATTCTTTTGTGCAGGAAAGTCACACCTGAGCCACAGTGCTGCTTGTCACTGGTGGTTACAGAGAGACTGGACTATGTTGTTATATATATGATACATGTATACATACATATATATATATATGCTTCAAAACAGTATAAAGACATATATCTTTAAAATATTTTTATTATTGTGACTCTTCAGTCACCTCTGTTCAAACAACCAGCAGACTTTGATTTGATACTCACTAGAGATGAACTCATAGGAACAGGAGAAGACTATACCTACCAAGTGCCTCTTATGTTTTAAGCATGTTATGGGTAAATAAACAGACATTTACGGCACAAGATATGCTAACCCCAGGTTTACAGACAGGTACATCTGAGGCCAAGGAAAGTTAAAAACATCCCCAGGGTGTGTAGTACTGTAATGCAATTCTCGCACTAACTGCCCAGGTTAATTCCAACCACATAAGATAAGGGCACAGTCTCCTACAAGTCTGCCCTCACTTCAGATGACAGCCACAAGATTGGACGTCCCGTGCACATCTGACCAGCTGACTATAAGTTCAATTCCCACAACTTCAGTTTCAGTAATTTGCTAGAATGACTCACAGGGCTCAGGAAAATGCTATACTTATTATTACAATTTTATTATAAAGGATACAAATCAGGATCAGCCAGGTAAAGACACACATAGGGTGGGGTCTGGGAGAGTCCTGAACATGGAGCTGCCATGCCCTCCCCATGGAATCGGCACTTGACCCGCCTGCACTTTGATATATTCACCAACAGGGAAGCTCCTCCAGGTTTCATTGTCCAGAGGTTTTATTTATGTAGGCGTGGTTGACTGAATCATTAACCATATGATTGAATACAATGTTCAGGCCTCCTTCCCTCCTGGAGGGAAGGGAATATCATTTCCAGGAGGTCAGGAGGTCTAGCCCTTATCAGGTAACTCAAAGTTCCACTTCTGAGTCACAGTTGGTTTTTCTGGCCCGCCTTCCTCCTGAACATCTGGTTAGCCTAAGCTATCTAGGGTCCCACCATGATGACTCATTGACATAAACTTTCAGGGCCCATGAGTAACAAAAACACTACTGTCACTTGGGAAATTCCAAGGATGTAGAGGTTTCTTCCCAGGAACCACAAAGAGCAGACAAGTTCTTTATTCCACAACACAGGGTCACTTATTTAGTGGGTAGTGGAGCCAGGACTTAATCCAGTTCTGTCTTATTCTGAAGCCATGACTGTCTCCACTACTCCTTTATTATTGTTAGGGCCCTTAGATAAGTGGTTTGCTGAAGCACACAGCTGGTTACTAAAAAATAGGTCCCAGCCCCCAGTACTAACTACTGAAGTATACTACTTTCCACAATGCAATTTTATTTTTTCATGTTGGGGCATATTTCGCCTGTTCCTATAAATTTTGCGGCCGGTATGGTGGGCACAGTTGGATAAAAGATTGGGGTTTTTGCTTTCATTTTTATTCTGTACTTGTACACTCTTGCTTCCTAGCTAAGGTGTATCAGTTGTCAGTGGTTGTCATCACTTAGCTATATTTTGTTCATAATTTAAAATCAAGTGAAGCCCAGCCAGGCATGGCTTAGCGGTTGAGCGTTGACCTAGGATCCAGGCAATCAGGGTTCAATTCCCGGTCAGGGCACATGCCCGGGTTGCAGGCTCGATCCCCAGTCGGGGGCGTGCAGGAGGCAGCTGATCAATGACTCTCTCATCATTGATGTTTCTATCTCTCTCTCTCCCTCTCCTTTCCTCTCTCTGAAATCAATAAAGATATATTTATAAATAAATAAATAAATGAATAAATTCAAGTGAAAAGCCCGGCCGGGTGTGGCTCAGCAGTTGAGCATTGACCTAGGATCCAGGAGGTCGCGGTTCAATTCCTGGTCAGGGCACATGCCCAGGTTGCAGGCCAGGGGGCGTGCAGGAGGCAGCTGATCAATGATAACTCTCTCATCGTTGATGTTTCTCTCTCTCTCCCTCTCCCTTCCTCTCTCTCAAATCAATAAAGATATATTTAAAAAAAAAAATCAAGTGAAAAAATTCAGCCAGTACTTCATTTAAGGTTATAAATTCCTCTTTTGACTTGTTTTCCTTTTAAAAGCAAGAAATATTGAAAGAAGAAAATCCATTGTTTTTCTAGCTAACATAGCGCTATTTCTTTTTTTTTAATATTGGGCTTAATTTGTGTACCTCTGTCTGCTTCCAGGTAGCATCCACTGTATTTTCCATGCGACTGGGCACCACTACACTTGGAAGAAAGTTACCACCACAGTGCACAACATTATCGTGGGCAAGTTGTGGATAGACCAGGTGAGCAAGCTGCCCAGTGTGCTACTCAAGCCCAGACTGTTGTTACTGGCTTATCAGTTTCCCCTGAAGAATTTCTCTTCGGCAGTAGCCCCACCCCAACCTCCTGGAGTTTCTGTATCACAAATTATTATTTATAAATGACCAACTGGCTATAGTCAATGACTCCTGGGACTGTTGAGCACTGTGAAGGATACAAGAAAATAATAAGCACCACTCCCAGTCTTCATCCTTCCATTATTCCTTAGGCATTGACTACCAGGCAGGGCGCCAGGGCCCGGGGCTACCAAGTCAGGTGAACCTCTGTCCTTCAAAGAGTTACTGTCGCTGCATATGTGACAAATATGTATAGGTTGCAAGTTTTTAACAAAATACTCTAGTGGAAGGGGTGTACTAATGTATCTGTCAGTATTCGCTTAAGACAGTGATTGTAGTAAATTCAGAAAAGTGGGGACATTGAGCTGAGCTGTCAGGAAAGGTTCATGGCAGGTGTAGGGAATTAAGTGTAGAAAGGCCTGCCACGTGTAACCTTGAAATTGTGAGTAGAATACCTTTATTTTTAAATCCTCACCTGAGAATGTTTTTATTGATTTTTAAAATTTTTTATTTAGGGGGGAGAAAGAGCAACATTGATGTGAGAGAGAAACATCAATCGGTTGCTTCCTATACATACTCCAACCGGGGATTAAACCCTCAACTGCAGCGTAGGCGTGTGCCCTGACCAGGCGTCCAACCCGCAACCTTTTGATGTATGGGACATCGCTTCAACCAGCTGAGCCACCTGGTGGGGCTAGAATACTTTGATTTAAGCACAGAGTTCCTGAAGGGTATCAGTGAGGATTGATTTGGAAAAGTAAATTGTTACATGAATATCAGTATGTGTGCTGATGCTGAAATCATGCCACCTAACATGACACACGATTCAGAAACAAGCAGAGGTGTTTGGTCGGCATCCTGTCTTGGGCACCAGGCTTACAAAGGGATTTCAGAGCAGTGAAAGGTTGGCTGAGACCTCAGTCCTTTTTTTTTTTGTTTTAAGCAAACGATTTTTCTTTTTTAAATATATCTTTATTGATTTCAGAGAGAGGAAGGGAGAGGGAGAGAGAGAAAGAAACATCAAAGATGGGAGAGCCATTAATCGGCTGCCTCCTGCACACCCCCCACCAGAGATCAAGCCTATAACGGGGCATGTGCCCCGACCAGGAATCAAACTGTGATCTCCTGGATCCTAGGCTGATGCTCAGCCCGAGCCACGCCCGCGGCGAGACCTGAGTCTTAGAGGAGTGCTGGAATGTAAGATTGGAAAGCAAGCATTATGAGGCACGGGCTTGGCAGATACTCAAGTCATCCAGTCTTAATAAAACTAATCCATGATTCTTTTCATTTTATAGTCTGGTGAAATTGATATTATAAATCACAAGACAGGAGACAAGTGCAATCTTAAATTTGTTCCTTATAGCTACTTTTCTCGGGATGTGGCGAGAAAGGTAAGAGAAGTTGGAATTTAAATTTTTTCATTTAGTTTGTATCCCTTAGAAAGCCTAATCCTTTGGGGCTGGGATAGAGGGATGGAGGGAGAGGGAGAGAGAGAGAGATAATCTAAATATATCTTGCTCCTCTATACCTATATGATGATAAAAACAGAAGGTGAGGAGAGGCCGGTGAGTAGGGGCGGAGCTGCATCACTAAACCAAACCCTGCCCTCCTCTGGGAAAGAACAGCTAAGCGAGGGAAAGGCCAAAGCAGTGGGCGAGCGGGGAGGAGGCCCGGGCAGGGCGCAGTGGCCTGAGAATGGGTCTGGGTGAGCGTGTGCTTACGCCCCAGTGGACTAGTGGCTTGAGTTTGATGGGAGAGGAAATAGTTAGGGATTTAAATCTGTGGCACTCTGTGTATTCTGGAGATAAGAAAGTATAATTCCGAGTGCCAGTCACGCCCTCTTCCTACACAGTATCATTGCAACAAACATTGCTCCAACGCATGCCTCGCTTGTTTTAAGCAGCTTAAAAAAAAATGAAACAAAATAATTTGGACGACTCCATGGTGTGTGCCATAATAGGATTTAACCAGTATTTACCCTAGGACCTGGGTTTCCAGAAGAGCCAGGTAAGCCGACCGACAGCGACCGGTCTGTACTCCAAAGCCTGCTGTCCGTCCTTGTAGGTGACAGGGGAGGTGACAGATCCATCAGGGAAAGTTCACTTTGTGCTGCTGGGGACGTGGGATGAGAAAATGGATTGTTTCAAAGTCCAGCCCTTCGCTGGGGACAATGGGGGTGATGCTCGACAGAGAGGCCACGAAGCGGAGGAGAACAGGGTGGAGCTGTGGAAGAAGAACCCGTTGCCGTGAGTATCCCGCCCCCCCCCCCC